GGAGTTGGGACTTGCGACTTGGGGGTTGGGACTTGAAGCTTGTTGGTGCGAGCCCCTACTTCTTGATCGTTCAAACCAAACCTGACTGGAGCTCAGTATTTGAACCTTATTAGAGCGTGCTATTCTGTGTTTTTAGAGCAGTTGGGTTTCCCTGGTTAAAGATACCTCAGTTTGAAACGTCTTTCCTGATAAGGGTGCATTTTATGGAAATGGATATACTGTAGGCTACCATTTATTTTGTGGCATCCAGGGTGCAGAGATAAAGATTTAACTGCAGGTTACTTTTTATTTAGTTAGAAGGCAGTTCATCTCTGGTGTGGCCTCTGTAGGTATATTAAGAGTTTATTGCTTAGTAGCAGTCTGGGGTTTTCTGGGTGACCAAAATGTTAGGCCTCTGAAACGCCTTGTTTGTAAATACTGTATATAATGTAACTTTGTGGGTTGTATGTTTTGTGTCTTCTGTAGTTTATTGTAATAAATATTTGTTTTAACCAAGTGTGCCTGGATTATTACTCCTCTCGACTAAGTTGTGCTAGAGAATAAAGAATTCTCGTGCCTCTAGTTATACCAGTCACCCGGGTATATCGTTAGAAATCACGTACAAGTTGGGGGTTATGAATAATTATTTCACTTATTGACTTAACCGCTCGGTCAGTTCCTGATTTTCAGCAGTTTCGTAACACCCCATTGGTAATAACATGATCTTCTATTTTGTGAAATTGCAAAATGATGCATACAACTTTAAAGACGTAATGTTTTCTTTAAAATCTGAGATCTCAAACTCAAAACTCCTAAGACTGAGATATGTTACAGGAAATGTCAGCGAAAAAGAAAAAAAAAAGAAATATGCTGATTGCGTAGGTGTTCAGATCTCAATATTCGATTCGCAGTAAGGTTCACGTTAGGACTTTGACTGGGCCATTCTGGAACAATTGCTTTGCTATAGCTAAACCAAATAGCTGTAGCTTTGGCCTTGTGCTTTGGATCAATGTTCCAGTTTTTAAACCTTTAGCAGACTGAAACTGAACCCGGATTTCTGTAGACAAATTCTTTTAGGGTGAGCTTTTGAAGGTTTAGTTAATAGGTGGGCAATCCTAGTCCTGAGGGGTGTTTTGCCATGGCCAGATGGGAAATAGCTAGCAGCATTTCGAGGAAGAAAGAAATCGATTTACGTGATTCAGGCTTGTTTATTGTAGAGATTGTACACTTAATACAAGAAAGGTTAATGGAGCTTTTTGTGTATTTGTCCATTTTCAAAGTTTATTGAATTCAGCTTCATATTATTTCTGGTGAAATGATGTAGCCCAGAACTTACACTGTGTTAATTGTAAAGTTAATCAATATTATCAGTACTTTTATCCATTCACTATCAGAAAACTGCTTGCTCCTGGTAAACACCTTGTAACCTGGAGTCCATCCGGGAAGCAAGCAGGACTGCACTTACAGTAAAACAAGATGCCAGTTCAAATACAGGGTCAGTTTACAAAGACTGATTGGACTAATGGAGGAAAACCTGAATACCCGGAGAAAGCCATCACACTCACACACTGAGTCTGGATGTAGCGTGAAGCTGATGTAAGACCGTAACTGTAAAGGGAAATGTGTATCTGATGTTGCTGTGGCTACTGTGACCTTAAGCCATCTTGGATGCTCGGGGTGAACTGGATGTTAGCGCGGGGAAATACTAGTTTAGGTTGTTGTGTTATGATGGCAGAGCAATAAATGTTCATGTCTGTTTGGCACATCAGTCCCCTCGTTGTTTTCATCCTGTCCCGGTCCTCAGTGGATATCACTGCTTCAGGTCTCTTGTACACGCCTATTCTAGCAACATTCAGCAACTCGAATAAACAGGAAGTGTTTGTAGACAGCTGAATTTCAAAGTAAAAGGCCTTCAGTGACAGCAGTAGAGCATGAAGAACAGAAGAATATTAAGCAGAAACACCTGCTTGGTTATTTCATCAATCATACTTATAATGTCTAGAATATTCTCTTGAATTTGTAAGGACGTTTTTGGGGGATTGCAGATAGCCTCCACTGATCCCTATGTTTTAAAAATCTAAGATTACTAACCATCATTGCCTTTCATTTATACTCTTGTAAATGGTCATTCCTGCAGTTTTTTTCCTTGTTAACTTTTTTTTTAGTCAAAGAAAATTGCTTTGAGATGCAAGCTTTTTGAGGGAGCTACATAAAATCTAAACTATTTCTTTACTGCAATTAAAAAACAAATCATTTTTGTTTCTTTAATATAATCGTACAGTATATTTAACCATAATCATGGACAAAACCATAATTTTTCCGCCATCTCAAGTGGCGTAACATACAATGTTGACGTCATGAAAACGGCACCAGACTTAATGTGCGGCAGGTCATTGTGCAGCAGGACAATGACCTGAAACATACTGCACGCTTTACATGGGAGTTCATCAGACAGAAAAAGAGGAACATTGTAAACTGGCCAAGTCAATCAACAGATCCGAATCCAGCATTGAGCATGTATTTCATTTGTTCAAAGGAGACTGAAGGCAATAAGCACAACCAACAGGACACAGCTAAAAGAGGCTGAAGTTAAAGCCTGGCGAAGCCCAAGTCTCAGGTGATGAAACAGAGAGTCTGGTAATGCCAATGAGATGGAGGCTTGATGCAGTTATTGTATGCAAGGGATTTGCAAAATACTGACTTTAAGACTTCTTTAATTTGCTTTAAGTATCCAAATACTTATGGTCACCTTAATTTGGGGGGACTGAACACAACATATGCTTTGGTTGAAAAATTATCAATTATGTTTGCAAAATATACCCTAATAATAAAAGGTGACCTCAAATCTGACTCAGAATAAGTTGTTTTATGTGAAATTCCAATTTCTTGTGTATACAACAGGAAACCCCAATTTTAGATTTTTGTCCCAATACTTTTGGAGGGCACTACATGTACTGTATACTGTGGTCAAGAGATTTGGGCACGAAAAAACATTTTGTGTTATGTGAATGCAGTTCTGTCCCACCACATATGGTTGTGCCCATAGCTTTTATCAGAAAGGAGGAACACACCCAAGAGCTTAGTACACAGGCATAAAACATTAACTTTCAAAATTAATAGTGTTACATCTAGATCAGGGCATCACTAGAAAGTTTCAACAGGAACAAAATAGAAAGTGATCCCTAAAGGTGTTGGAATAGTTGTCAATTAAACTACACCAAACCACAATTTGCTATAATCAGGGCTTGTAAAAGTCATGTAATGAGACAAACTAGTGAACAAAAGCAGCACAGTGGAAAGGGTCAAAGATACAATCTTGACATGTATATCTCTGGTGTCCTAGTAAGTTCCACTGGGTTAGAAGAGCTGTCTGCTTGTATTTATGATGCCTGCATTATCTTTGGTATTAGATACAATAACACGCTTGTCATTCAGTCCATTTTTGAATCTAAAAAGTTCGATGTTACAATGAATACTAGTAATGTCACCACTGTTGCAGGTGGTGAGGACCAGGCTGATGTGTTGAAACCATGATCCCATCTAAACAAATAATTATTGCTGCAAGCAGTAAGCCTGATTGGGATCTCAAAGATGAAAAAATTGCTGTTATAGAAAGAGCAGACATTCAAAGTAAATGATAGGTTTGAGTGAATGTGATTCAAAAGAAGTTACAGGAAGAATTGAAGAAGCTTAAAAATAACTTATGAATCCAAGGTGGAGAAATGAATGAATGCGTAGTAGATGTTATGTGGGATCAAAACCATGATTGGCACACACCCTACTATGTAAATGAACTGATTTGTATTTTTGCACAGTATGAGATTAGCAAATCAGCAAAAAAAAAATTTTTTATCAAAGTTGGTGTTTCTCCCTTTACTATAAGATCTGAACAAGTGGGGCGTGTGTTTTTGCAAATAAATACTCAGAAATCAATGCGCCCTGACAATCTGGAAATATCATGAAAAACTATTTTGGAAACTTTTCCAGAAGTCACTGGACACACTTACAGTTCCAACATTGTGAAAGACATCTGCAATTATACCAATACCTTAAAAAGCAAAACCTGTTGAATAAAAAGATTTCTGCCCAGTAACATTAACTTCAGTCACAAGGTTGAAGATGCGACTGTGACTTTGTTAAATCAAGTGTACAAGCATTTAGAAAGCTGTGTGCTGTCCTCACTGCAGTTCACATTGTGCACAAATGATTGTGTAAGACACTAGGACAACTGTTTGATTATCAAGTTTGAGGATGATGTTGCCTTGATTGGAATTTTGGATGATGACGAATATTATTACAGATGTGAGATAAAGCTTTCTTATAATTGATCTCAGGATAACTCACCCTCTTAAACACAAACAAAACAAAGGAAATAATAACTATTTCAGAAAGATGTTCTATTCCTATGATCCCTATAACTGTGAATAGAATGGAAATTGAATGAGTAATTGAATATAAATACCTTGGGATGATTATTGATTGTAAATTAATTTGGATGACCAATACAGAGGCAAGATATTTGAAGGTGCAACAAGGGTTTACAGTATGTATTAATAATAATAATAATTAATAGTATTGGCTGGGCGACACCCGAAGAAGGCTCCACAGCCTAAACTAGAGGTTTGCGACAACCAGGAGACTCACAGTACTTTTACAAAGTTCACGATTTTGTGCTTAATTCATAAATTGTAAAGTTCTTCTATACTGGCAATAACTTTATTTTGTTACCAAGATCTAATAAAAAGTCTGAAAATTTTGGACAACATTTCTTCCTTAAGGTATTTTAGAAGGTTGCGTACATGTTATATACATTGTTCATAAATTCCTACATCGTCCGTCACAGTTCAATCAGAAAATATGGGACAGAGATCAGGTTATTTGAGTTTGAGGTTTATATTACTGTTACTGGCAGCATGCCTGCTTTGTAGGTAAAAGGGTGCACACCGAAACAACCTTTGCCTCAATCTTGCTGAGAACAGCAGTGCTCTAGTCCTGTCATGTCTATGACATTGAAAGATGTAACTTACGTACAGTATATAAGCATTCACACCTAATCAGTGTATATATATATCAGTGAGAGACTGAAACTCCAGTAATCCGGAACAGGCAGAGAACAGTAAACCATGTCAGTAATTACACAGCTATTGTCCGACACCACCACTGTGTGTGTAGTTTTCATTACAACGTTAGTTGTCTTTTTCTACTTGTTTTTCAAACCCTCCAAAGCATCTTCCTATAAATTTCCCCCCGGGCCACGACCCTGGCCGATCATCGGGAATCTCAATGTACTGGGCATGCAGAAACCACAGGAGACTTTCTGTAAGGTGAGTGACAGCAATTGTCCGGAGTGCCTGATTTATGATTAATAAAATAGTCTCTTTATATGTACTGTATATATTTATATGGCTAGTCTGGGTTGTTGGAACAGGCGACCTCTTGTATGTTCATAACACTTGGAAAAAGATCATTGAATTAATTTAATGCATTATATTTATTTCACCAGGTAAGTAAACTGATTTTCATTTTCAGTGATAAACAGGAAACCCATTTATAGAGTAGGGTATTTAACTTTTAGTCAAGGGAAGAGCAGCAATGTCCCCTTGAAGTCTGAACCCACAACCTTTCTTTCCAGAGTTTTAACTGCTACTCCAGGTTGCTGCCTAAGAAAACCAGCTGAGTTCTTTAATCATGCAGTCTTATCTGGAGACATGTAAAAATCTGAGATTATTTCATACTACTGTATATTGTATATAATGTAAATGTGAAAACTAATCATTAATCCAAATAAATATCCAATTTCACTAACTACTTAATTTTGCAACGCACCTGTAGAAAAGGAATAACAGTCTTTTAAAGATAATGCCTATGTAAATGAGCAAAATAAATGGCTCAGGAAAAGGTCTACATGTTTTGATTTTTCCTGACATCTGTTAATGTCTAAACTGACAGGTCAGAGGGCTGTGTATCTGTATTGCATCATAAACCTTCACAGAAGTGTAATGAGCCAGAATGTCCTGTTAATTGTATCCCTCTGTATGGTTCCTGGTGCTTGGAGAGTAGACTTTTTGCAAGAATAGTTACTCCAGGTTGCTGCCTTAGAAAAGTCGAGTAGAAGAAGTCGAGAAGAGTCCAGTATTGCTGTTTTGAGATACATGTAAAAATCTGTGTTTTTTTGTTGTTGAATTATATAGTACATAAATGTGAAAATAATCTTTAACCTAAATACTTATCCCAAACTATTTAATTTTGCATCTGTGGAAATGGAAGAAATCGCTTAAAGATAAAGACAATTCAAAAGAGCAATATAAATGGTTCAGAAAAAGATTGATACAGGTTTTGATTTTTCCTAACAAACATCTTTTAATGTGTAAACTGACAGGTCAGACGGCTGTGTATCAGCATTGCATTACAAATCTTTACAGCAGTGATACGGGCCAGAATATCCTGTTAATTGTATCCTTCTGTATGGTTCCAGGTGCTTGGACAGAAGCCTTTTCACAAAAATAGTTTAGACTAGTTATAGCACAGGAGGCACCAATCACAAAGTGAAGTTTCTGAGAAATACATGTACTGTACACAATAGTTGGTGGGACAATACAGTATATAAGACCTGGTAAGAAGATCCAACTTGAAGATCCAGCTTTTAGCTCAATTAGCAATGAAAAATGTGAAAGGATTACAATCCTCATACAGCATGATTACTTAACAGTCTGAAATGTGAGACACAGTCATCTTGGCATCATTTGGGTAGTTTTTTTAATTTAATCTGTGTATATACTGAACAGTACCCTGGAAGACCAAATACTGTCATTCCCCTAATTAAGCTATAGACTCCCAGTTACAATCATTAATTGGCATGAGAACGCAGACTCTTTCCTACTTCTACTTTCCTGCAGTCAGTCAATTTGTCAGTCGTGGTGACTCAGCTCTTGCTAAAATGCCTGTCTTTTAGCCAAAAATCAAGAATTACAGAAGAAACTTTTGTTTCTCAGGCATAAACTTGTCTGTTCATACTGTAGCTCTCTGGAGCTACTGTATTGTGTGGGTGCCAATAGAAAATTTCCTTGCAATCAAAATCCTGTTGATGTAGTCTGTGTGCACCACCTCAGTCTTCTCTTCTCCTCTGTTTCCCTCTTCAGCTGTCAGAGCAGTACGGCAATGTGTTCACTTTCCACATGGGCACACGGAAGTTTGTAGTCCTGACTGGATATCAGACAGTGAAGGAAGCCTTGGTGGACCAGGCAGATGACTTTGGAGGAAGGGGACAAACACACATCTTAAACTTAATTTCAAAGGGAAAAGGTAAAAAATAAGTAAACTCACTCTAGTGCCTGAACTTTAATATTTAATGCGAGGGGAAGCTCTGTGGTACACTGGTAAGTATTACTGCCTAGCACCATGGGGCCCTGGGTCCAATTCTGGACCTGAGGTGTTGTCTGCATGGAATTTGTATGTTTTCCCTGTGTTTGTGTGGGTTTCCTCTGGATGCTCTGGACAGTGAATTGTTTTCTGGGTAAATTGGTTCGCATGAGTGAGTGTCTGTGTTTGCCTTGTGATTAACTGGCGTCCCATCGAGGGTGTATCCTGTCTTGTGCCTGTAGCTTGCTGGGACAGGCTCTGACTCCTCTGCAAGTCTGAACTGCATGAAGTGGTTAGAAACTGGATGGATGGAAGGTTCAGCTTGTTGTCAATATTTTTCACAATCTCCAAATCAGAAATGTAAAGTTGCTGTACATCACATTCCCCTTCTTCTACATGTGGATATAGCCTGATTAAAATATAAGCAGAAAATATAATTTCCTGAGGAATAAGCGACAGAAAACAGACCATACAGAGTTTCTGTCATCTTTCATTTCAAGGTATTGTATCTGCGAATGGTGAGTCATGGAAGACGCTGCGTCGGTTTACTCTCTCCACCTTGCGGGACTTTGGCATGGGCAAGAGAACCATTGAGGACAGGATCGTGGAGGAGTCCAAAATGCTGATAGAAGTCTTTGAGTCCTACAAAGGTACCCGTCAAATAGTACATCCTCCTTTTCTTCAACATGGCTTGCAGAGAGAGCATTGCATTTATAGACTGCTATTGAACAGTGATTAGGACTAGCATCACTGAAAACAACAGACGTGTGAAGAGCAGTGTCACCTTACTGCGCAAGCAAGATGGCTTGTTTCTACATCACTGAGCAACTCATATCTAGCACTTGCTTTTGATCTTGACCCATGTGATGATGCAAGTCTTTTGTTTTACTTCCTCCAAGGTCAACCGTTTGAGCCTACTATCCACATCAACTCCGCAGTGTCCAACATCATATGCACCATTGTGTTTGGGGATCGCTTTGAGTATGACAACCTCCGGTTTCTTCGGCTCCAGAAGGTTGTGAGCGACAGCGTTAAAATACTAGCCTCCCCACAAATCCAGGTATGGGACTGCATCGGCTGGGTCGACAGGATATCATCATTTTTCTGTCAATTCTTGCAGTGAAATTACCTTTCTAAATAAGAATTTAGTCTTGTTTTACTATGTTAAGAAAAATAACCTAGTCTCATTCATATAATTGTTTCTTCTTTTTTGAGTATATGATATACTTTCATATGTATTTTAAAATAAGCTTATTACAGTATGTAGGTATAGTACTCGTTATTGTGTGTTTCCTGTTTATCTTGTTTGCAGCCACAAAGGGTTGTTGAAGAAATTGTCTATAATTATCTTTTCACACAGTCTTTCCTCAAGTAGTTTGTGATATTGGACACCTAAATCCCCAACAATCATTTAGCACTTATGCATGTTATTTAATGTAATGTTTAACACACATGCAGAATAATCAGATAGTGAAATAATCTAAAAGCACACTAGCCAGCTGTAAGACTGTTCCAGTTTGATTAAGTCATTTTATGTTTCATAGAAGCTCTGGCAGTATCATAAGTCAAGACTGAAAACATCCTCCAAAAGAGACACTTTTTAAACAGTATAGATTTGTCTTCATTCATTATAAAGACCTTGTTGGTTATGGACATTTCAAACAGTTCTCATCATGGTCATGTTCATAGATGAATAGAACACAAGCAAAGAGCTCATGGAACATTTCTTGGCACTGGTCTAAAAGTGAGAGGAACACAAAACTGTAACACAAACGGTCAGACTGAAATACTGTAGCATCAGAGACACATCTCCAAGCAGCCAATCCACACACCCACTACACCAAAAAGACATAACCAATACATCTGTGATTTTTAACACTCTTGAGCTCTGTTACCCCAGCAGATATCCATCATGCTATATATTTTAATCAGTAAAACAAGCCTTCCAAGAATAGAAAAAGTCACACTTTGACTTCAGGAACAGAGAGCAAAAGTGCTTATTCTCAAAAACAATGTCTATTCATTTTCAACATTTTACTCACCATTGCAATTGGTAATCCTGTTGGGGGCTGGCGTTTCAGAACTGCTGGTCCTGTGGTCCTGCTTCACAAAGCTCATCACCTTTTTGATCCTATTTTCAGTTGGAAAAAACTCCAAACAAGTTTTCTGTTAAACTTTGTTTTATGTGTTCTTTATACAAAGGTCACCTTAGATTTACTTGTAATCTTGTAATTTTCACTGCACTCATCCTGTCCTTTCATTCTTTTTTACAGCTGTTCAATGTCTTCCCCTTCTTAGGCTTTTTTTTAAGCGATTTTAAGAAACTTTCAAGTTATGCAAAAGAGAATCAGTCTTTCTTCAGGAATCTGTTCAAGGAGCGCAAAAAGGCCGTTGACCCTAATGACATGAGGAGCTTCATCGATTCCTTCATAGTGAAGCAACGCGAGGAGGTGATGTTCTTCTGACAGTATTTTGTGAGCTGTGAATCACTGTTTCTGTCTGCAGCTCTTGGGAAAGTAATGTACATAAGACTCATGTAAAGAATATCTGCTGTTTTCCATCCACCCATTTTCTAACTGCTTCTTCAAATTCAGGGTCACAGCTGAACCTATCCCATCAAGCAATGGGTACAGAACATCCTGATCTGGATGCTAATATATCACAGAGCAGACAGAGAAGATCACTGACACTATAGACACATAGGGCCAAATTTACCAGTAAGCCAATTAACCTACTGTGGTAGGAAACCAGAGCCCCAGGAGCAAACCTACATGAACATGGGGAGAACATACAAACTCCAAAATGATAGCACCTAGGTCCAGAATTAAACTCTTGGCCCCCAAGGCTGAGAGGCAGCAACACTAACCACTTCTCCACTGTGCCACCTGTCTGTTATTTAGTTCTTTACAACTGAGATAAGCATTTCAATGAATTCTCTTTGCATTAGATAAAACGCCATTTTCCAGTGTACAGGAACCTAATTTTCAGTTAGATTGGTGTTTTCTCTGTTGCTTGTGGGTCTATTTTGTACAGCGATAGTAGCATGATCTCTGTAACAATATTTCTTGTTATAGGAAGCTAAAAACTCCCATACATATTTCGACGAGGAGAACATGGTAGTCACATCATCCAGCTTGTTTGGGGCTGGAACAGAAACCACATCCACCACCCTGCGCTGGGGCCTTCTGCTGATGATGAGGTACCCTCACATTCAAGGTGGGTATCTCACTGTCCTTCTAATAGGAATAACTAACTAGAATCATAAGGATAAACAGACCATAATAATGATTCAAATGTTTTCTTACCTAAAACAAAGTTTTGAGAAAATTGCATTCACTGTGTTATTCAAAAGCAGGTCTCAACGATATACTGTATTTGCGGCTGTATATCCTAGTCTATATTTCAGCTCTCTGTGTGCAATGATCCAAGACAAACATCTAGAAAAACTGGGGTTTCTAATCCAAAATATGTGTTAATTACAGTCCCTTTAAACTTGAGTGCTATAAAAGAACATTCAACAGGAAAAACACTTGACCCAGTATGATTTGCTTTTAGTGGGAAAAACGAGTGGGTAAAAAGTACTTTTACTTATGTTCAAATCAGCATAGAAGACAAATTCCAGAAACTCACTTGAGATGACACTTGTGCCATGGATTGGGTATCTGTCCACACGATGAATTCTTCCTCAGACGTATATCAAGCACTGTCCGAGAGATGTGTACTTATAAACCATCCACACCTTTTCAGTATCTAGAAAGGAAACCAAGAAAAAACAATTTCATATCAGAAGTGGCAAGTATATGTTGCTTAGGCATTGAACATAAGGCTTTAAATGAATATTTCATCCCCTGTAGCAGCACTTAATACATGATAAATTAATGATTAATAGACGAACATGAACACTATACTTTTGTACAGCATCCCCATAATATTGCTTTATACTGGGTTTCTGTTTATTTATAATGGTGTCTGACTTTTTAGAGCTGTAGGAATTAAGAAACTTCAAATCAAGCATATAGTCTAGAAAACAAAAGGGTTCAATAATTCACAACATTGAAAACATGTGTTGAAATGAAGTGAGTTATAACTTTCAAAACAGTAAAATATATGCACTGTGCAAATAATTGGGCCATTAGAAAATATGTGTAAACAAGCTGAGCTCACGCTATTTCTAACTCCTCAGGGCTGTCACCCAAATATGCTTAATCTATCTGATCTCCACCACAGAAAAAGTGAAAGCAGAGATTGAGAGAGTGATTGGGAGAGAGCGCCCTCCAATGTCTGAAGACCGGAAGAGCATGCCCTACACTGACGCAGTGCTACATGAAATCCAGAGGTTTGGAAATGTGGCGCCCCTGAATTCGCTGCACGAGACCACAGTGGACACCACCTTCAGGGGCTACAAGATCCCAAAGGTGAACCTCTCTGTCACACCCCTCACTCCTACTCCCACCCAGAGACAGACCTCACAGGGTCACAGTGGGAACTTGTGAAAAAGTGAATAGGGCCTAGTGTATCTTACAGCCTCTTGAAGCATCAACACTATGTCTATAGTGGACATTAGGCTGGGAAAATCTCAATTAACCTGGAAAAACAAGATGCTAACTGATAATATTAATATCTGTTCTCTCTTTCAGCTTTTAAAACTTGAATTAGTTAAAAACTTTTTCAAATTTAATAATGATGCCAGAAAAGGCAACTGAATCAAAGAGGTTTTGTGTAGAACACACATCATCTAATACTTTACACATTAACCTGCTGTCTGTCTTCCTCAGGGCACCCCTGTCATTCCGCTGCTCACTTCTGTGCTGTTCGACAAGACGCAGTGGGACACGCCCTTTGAGTTCAACCCTGGCCACTTCCTGGATGCTCAGGGAAATTTCATTAGGAAAGAAGCCTTCATGCCCTTTTCAGCAGGTCTGTGTCACATTCGTAGCCTGATCATTTTCTTATTTCATTTCATTAACCTGGCTCATTTTCCTGCCAGAACCCCTGGGAGTCTGCTCATCACTCCAATGTACAGAAAGCATACAAGCCTGATCTTTGCTCTTGTATGAGTCTGAAGGCCAGAATTGCTATGCTCTGTTGGATGCACTCCTCCTAGTTTGTTTTTCTAAGAGCATGGACACCCAAGTACCAGTGCTTACAGTCTGCTCCAGTTCGTTTCTATAATCAACTCCTTAATTATATAATTGAGTTAATTATAAATGGACCAGCACTGGAACCTGCATACTCTGTTGCAATTTTTCTGTGTGTTTGCTATCAGAACAGTACCTCATTGGGAATATGGGACCTTTTTAATTTTAATCCATCCTTGCAAACTCTCTGTAATGTATCTTCTGTCCTTTCCAGTTTTACTGAGCTCTTGTCATCCACAAGTGATTTTGCAAATGAAATGAAATGTTTGATCTGACACACATTGACTAGAAATATACAATACGCATTACAGGTGGACTCTAAAGTGTATCCTAATCTTGACTCTATTTGAACTGTTCTCAAAAAAACAACTTTTGGAGCACCTTTGTTTTCGTACATGTGTAACAGACTAACTGCCATTAAAGAATTAAGATAATTATTATAAAATGGTGAATGTTGCCCATTAGATTATCGAACGTGGTCTCACAGAGATTAAACAACTCTGTGAGGACCGCTGCTGGGATAGAATTCTGGCCATCACAGGGGCCAGTCACCACCCCAGGCATGAGCTCTTCACCCTTCAATAAAGTTCAAGTTCAAGTTTCAATTAACACTGCTTCATGGAAATAGCCACATTCTACTGTCCTGAAAACTCAGTGACATACATGTAATCTTATTTTGATAAAGCTATGCTTTCATTTCCCTCATATTTTCTTAACTGGAATTGTATATACATATAGGGAGATAACAGATTTAGCATGTCATTGCTGAAGTCCCAGTTCACATTTAAATTTTGTTCTACAGGACATACAAATAAACCTGGGAAAAAGATGTATTTGCAGGTTTCTCAAGATTATAATTTCAGTTACCCATTGAGTAACACACAGCAGGTCTCCCTGTTTCCAAATGAATGCTTCATCTTTCTTTGCTTCTCACTGTAAAGATCCCTGTTTTATTAAATTAGGCCTGCTTGCTTTACAGATTTTACAACTAAAACAAAACATAAAGTAGAGCTGCGACATATATGGATGATCAATTTGCAGGCTGCTAATCTATGTTTGCATATTCATACCATATATACGTACGAACGTGCAAGAATATGACAAGTGTTTTAGATTCTGGTAATGCTTGTCGCAAATTTGTAAATATTCCAGATTGGAGGAGGTCATTCACACTAACAAGTTCTTTGATTCATCCTGCGAAACTGATCCCACAGTCTCCTCCACTTGTTTCCTGAAGATGTGTTTATTCACTGACTGTTTTTTTACAACCTGTCCACACTGTCTCGATGAGAACATCGACTAACCTGTCTAAATTCTTTCTGCAGGTGTTTTCTTTATGTTTGAGTACCAAGTTACATGACAGTGTGGTGTCCATCTCCAGGTCCTGGTGATATACCTGTGTATAGATCCCATTTCTAGATCAATCTGCTTTGTGGTGTGCCCTGCAGGTCGGAGGGTTTGTCTGGGCGAGACTCTGGCCAAGATGGAGCTCTTCCTGTTCTTCACTGCCCTCCTCCAGAAGTTCACCTTCCATCTGCCCCCTGGTATCCGGCCTGAGGACCTGAATATGGAACCAGTCCTCGGCTCTACTGCATCCCCACATTCCTACAAGCTCTGTGCTGTCAGCCACTGATGGTCAAGGCTTTCATTCAGTCTGTGTCGGCCTCCTCTTCCACACTGAGGCCACAGCAGCCTGTTGTGTCTCTGTCTCATCTCACTGAAATGGGATTTCAGAGTTTACACCTTGAGATTTACACAGCTACTGATGATGTGGGATCTCAAATGGTTCATAACTAGCTTTAAACAGTGAGTAGAGTCCTAGAACAAAAACATAATTAGTTAATTTGACTTTTTAATGGTGACCTGATTTGATATATGTTAGAGTTTCAAAATATTTTATGGAATTAATAAATCAACATTTTACACATTAGATTCTCAGACCTTTCCAGACTTGCAAACACTGTGCACAACTCAAAAAGAGCTACTGTAATTAATCCATCATAAAATTGTGGTTTCAATCAAATAGTCAAGAAATAAGCTGAAAGAAAAACAAGAAGGCATTGGGGTTATCAGTACATTTGAATGGAGTCATGACCTATTTTACAGGCCTGTGCTGTTAATGCACAGATTCAGTATTAAATATTGCAGCCATTTAAAATGAAACAGACATATTTAAATGCCCCTTCTTGAGAACTTAATACTGGAGTAGTGGCAGTCATTCCTGCTCCACAGACCTCTTGTATTCACTTCAGAGAAAATAAGAAATTCAAGAAATTACAGTAAACGTAGTTTACAATTCTTGATGAATAGACAGGAGGAGGAAAACCAGACAACCTGTAAGACCTTCATGTCCATAAATGAATATCAATGAACAAGTCACAAGTAAGGTCTTGATAACTTGCATGTCAGTATATCGGCATGTATACTGTAATTATGCTTCACATTTGCAATGTTAAAATATTTATGAGAATCTAATAAAACGGAACTATTGACTTAAATGTAACAACTCAATGTGGACGAAACTGACTTTTAACTGTTACATTTAAATCATACGTTCTCATTTACTGATTGTTGATCATCATAACTACTTTAATGTGTTTAAAATAAACTGATCTCAAAGTCTCAATCCGGCATTTTGTGTACATTGTTAGAGCAATACAAGAGAAAGAACAACATTTGCTTTATCTTATTTTGATTGTCCTTTTCCTTTGCTTAAAACATCCCTTTTCAACAAAATACAGCAATACTGAACAACAATTCCTCATCACGAGATATGTAAACACCGCTAGTTCAAAGAATAAAAAAGTGAGCTACCACTCTGTAATAACTCAAATAGTGATGAAAACAACTTTGGGAATAAGAACGCTGTACAGGAAGCAAGGAACAGCTCTGTGAGGAAGGGCCGTTGTGAAAAAAGTCACCTGTTAAGGAGGAAAAGGTTACAATTGGGACACATCCTGTACAGCAGGCTGATTGGATAATTGGCAGCCAGAAGGGGTGGAGTTACTGAGGGAGAGGAGCAGACAGGACAGGCTCTGTGTGCAATTCCACACATTCCAATGTCAGTGAGAGGAAGTGACCATCCCCTACCACATTGGTGCTAATATATAGAAATATTACGGATCTTACTCTGCGCAGTAAAGTAAATCTGAAGTATTTGAGTATAAAACAGTACTTTAAAGGGCAGATTGGCTGATTTCCCATCCGCCTTTCACCCTGCCCTTCCAGGTTAGGTACAGTATAATGTAAGAGATGTAGAAACAGTATATATATATAGTGTCTTTGAAAATGTTTTTCTGTTATGTTTGTTTCTTTTCCCAGTCTTGAACCATTTGTATTAAGAGTAACGACAATGTTTGAAAATAATATTTAATGCTACTTTTCCTGTATCCAATCTTTTATTTGGGGAAGGGGCATCGTCTTATAGTATACAGAATAACTACATTGGTTTATTTTTATATTTTACAAACAACTTTAAGCAACACAGAGTGCTATTTAATAGTGCATAAGTAATACATAAGTAATCTTGCGTTCTACATGTTGATACCGTATGTAAAACATAACAAAAGTAAAACGAAAATTGAAAAAATGTAAACCACATTAATAAAATCAAGAGTAAAACTAAATCTTTAAAATAGAAAATTTTAAAAGATGCCTTTGATTGAGTTTTTTTTTTTGACGAAGGCAGCATGGAGATTCCAAGCTTAAAAAACTGAAGTTCCTGTTCGAGAAAGTTTCATGTCAGTATAAGTTTCTTTTCAGAGCTTCTTGGAAAAACTGGCCATACAATACGGGGTGGACCTACTGTATTTTAGATCATACTTTTCCGTTACAGTCTGCTACAAAACTAAACTCGCGATTTTCAAATCATCAAATGCCCTTTTTCTCTCTCGGATAAATCTCCCACTGATGAGCTACAAACATATAAGACGACATCTCAGGCTGTAAAAATGACAAAGACTGGATTTTTTTCAGGTTTTACATGGGTATTGAGTGAATCTGAGTAATTTCTGTAGGAACAGAGATCGGGTCCTTTGAGTATAAGGTCTATATAACTTATTTCCAGCGCGGTCGCTCTGTAGGTAAAAGGGTGCACACCGAAACAATATTTGCCTTAGTCCTGTGAACAGCAGTTCTCTAGTCCTGTCTCGTCTATGGCATTTTAATATGTAACCTATCCGTTAATAGGTAATCAGTGTCTATATATCAGTGTGAGACTGAAACTCCAGTAATTCGGAACAGGCAGAGAACAGTAAACCATGTCAGTAATTACACAGCTATTGGCGGACTCCGCCACTGTGTGTCTACTTTTCATTACAACGTTAGTTGTCTTTTTCTACTTGTTTTTCAAACCCTCCAAAGCATCTTCCTATAAATTTCCCCCCGGGCCACGACCCTGGCCG